ATATATATATATATATATATATATATATATATATATATATTGGATGTGGAGCTCAGCGCACTGGTGGATCGCGCGCTGCGCGTACACCCCAGTGTGGTTGTGCCTCTAGTTCACACCATGCATTTTTGCTGATTTATTTCTGTGGGGTTGTTGTGCAGGGGAGCCGATCCCGTGGCTGGAGAAGGTGGCTGCAGAGACATCTTCTGCTGTCTTGTCTCTTCTTGGCAAACCCTTCCCAGGAGGCCCCTCCTCAGCAGTAGAGTTGGAGCAGCAGCAGAACACGTTCCTCGCTAAAGCGGTTGCTGCTGTCCTCATTGCTCTCACCAGTGTGCATGCAGCCCCACAGTCATGGATAGGCAGCGCAGCACAAACACTGCTGCCGCTCCTCAGACACCCCGTTCTTCAGGTATCCACAAAGAAGGCTTTAGAGGCCGCCTTGCAGGTCCGCAATAGAAACACCCCTGCCTTCAGCAGCGCTGCTGCTGCAGCTGTTGTTGTTGCTGCTGCTGTTGAGGCTTCTGTTTCACCAGCTCCCTCGGGCGCTTTCGATCCTGCTGTTGCTTCTGCTGCTGCCGCTGCAACTCCAAGCGCACTTGCAGGGGCATCATCACGTGACAGCATGGCATTGCGTATTGTTCTATGTGCCTCTCTGCATGCAGCCGAGTCTGCAGTTTGTTCCTTTTTCTTTTTCTTTCCATTCTTTCCTTCTCGCACACCTCGCTCCACTTTCGTCTTTGTTTTTGTCAAAGATTGGCTTGTGTAGACATTTATGTTCTGGTGTTTAGGTGTATGGATGTTTGTGTATGACGGGCTTCTGTGCTTACCTAGGTGTGTGTATGCATTTGCGTGTATATGCTTGCGCTCATATTTCTTTGTTATATATATATATATATATATATATATATATGTTTCCGTTTATATGTTTTCTGTACGTTTCTGCGCATGTGTTTGTATAGATATACGTGTGTACATATTTGTGTGCATGTTGCTGCATATATTTGTGCATATATATATATATTATCTATGTATATACATATATATATGAGTATGTACTTTGTACATATTTTTCTATATACGTGCATATATATTTGCATGCAGGTATAAATAATTAGGTGCATAAACGTATACACAAGTATACGTATATACGTATATATGCATGTATATATATATATATATATATGCATATATATATGTATATTAGGTTACTTGTGTTTATGGCTGCAGTCTTTGGACAGCCACATAATGGACGAGCAGCGGAAGCGCGACTTCTGCTGGCGGTGTACGGGCCTCCTGTCAGTGCGGGAGATGTGTCTGCTGCTGCAGCAGACAGCAGATGATACAAAAGCCTCCTACGTTCGCAGCCAGTTTGCTCTCGGAGGGGCCTCCAAAGCGGCTTAATAAACCCTAAACCCTAAACCCCAGCGGGAGCCGCACTGACACTCCGCACGCAAAAATACATCGAGGGAAGCTGCAGCAGTTGCTGCAGCAACAGCAGCTGTTACTGCAGCAAAAGCAGCTGCAGTAGCAAAACCATTTGCTGCTGCTGCCGCTGGCTGAAGCTACTGCTGCAGCCAAAGCTGCTGCAGCAGCAAAAGCAGCAACTGCACAACAACAGCAGCCTTCTGCTGCTGGTGGGGCCTTTAGGCCGTGTGCGTACTTCGGAGGTGTTTGGGTTTTCTTTTTAATGCGTTGTTGCCTCATCGACTGGATAAACAAACTAAACTCTTCAAATATATGCAGAGCCTCGGTGTCTCTCTCTGCATGCTTGGAGGACTGAACAAAAAACCAGCTTGAGCTGTATGCACACCCCAGTACAAGGGGACAGATGCCTAGGAACCTACGAACCTCAGTGCCTTCCACCTTCTTACCCTCCTCCGTTTAAGCAGAGACGATTAGGTAAGACTTGAAGGCTTATGCTACCTCTGAGGGCAGCAGCCTGTTAACGGAGATGGATAATTGGCTTGCTGAGTAGTAGCTAGCTCGTGAGACCGCAAAGCAGCTAGTAGCTAGCTGGAGCCCAGCTAGCGAAAACACCAGCGGTAGAAGCGACGGCACCCCACAGGATCTACGTGATTAGTACTACCGAGAGTTGCCTCAGCTCTGCGAGCGGGCGGCTAGCTACTGAGATACCCTCCTGCTCCACAGCTAGCTAGCTAGCTAGCTACCTAGCTAGCTGCAGCTCGACTTGTACTAGCGAACTAGATCTACACAGAACGCATCAAGGCCTCTGTACCACTGTGCCCCAAAGAAAGCAGAATGACAGCCATGCCGTCTATTGCTGTCGGTGGCTGCAAGCCCCAGGGCTGCACAGGCCAAATGTGGGGAGCAGCAGCAGCAGCTGCAACAGCCTCACTGCTGCAAATTGGAGTATTTCTGCTGCTGTGTTGTGGTGCTAGCAGCAACCCCTCCAGCAGCTGAATTAGCCTGAGAGGCAGCTAGGTACTGCTGCTGGTAGTGATGCATGTACAGCTGGGGCATGAGAGCAGCAGTAATCTGCTGCATGTACGGATTGGTTGCTGCAGCAGCAGCAGCTGTGGTCGTCGGAAGCGCAGCAGCAGCAGCAGCAGCAGCAGCAGAGTTGACGGTCGCCTGAGTACCGTAAGGACTCGACACATCAGCGCGGGTCCCCGAAGCTGTGGTGGAGGAAGTGATGGGCCACTGCGAGGCAGCAGCTTGCTGCAGCAACTGCTGCTGCAGCTGCTGCTGCAGTTGCTGCTGGTACTGGGCCCCTCCCAGCGGCAGCTGCTGCAGATGCTGCGGGGGCAGGATCGCTCCTCCCCCGAGTTGTTGCTGCTTTCTTGACTCCGACGCCACCGAGACAAACGTAACTTGGCCTGCAAGCCCCAAACAGCATGCAGCATGCATGCATGCAGCAGCAGCCACGCATGCAAATACTCACCCCCACTCGAGCAGCCACAACGGCCGGTCCCCGTCTCCTAAGCACCCCCTCCCCCCCTCCCCCCCCGCC